GACCTAGGGAGACCCTGGGTTTCCAAAAGACTTTAGTATAAACTTATTTTCTCCCAACACTGCTTTGAACCAGAGTGAAGACTAAGACCCCGAGAGAGAAGGGCCGCCCAGCCCACCCACCTTCTCTTTGGGGCATCACTTTCTCTTCTCAAGGCAGCGCCAAGTGGAGTGGAAACTCAAACTGGACCACATTTTTGGGTGCTGCACCCAATCCCTGACTGCTGCAAAAGACCAAAGAGAGGCTGCTCTTGGCTACAAGAAGAAGTCAGATCCTCCTGGGAGCAGAGACTGTGCTCAGAGCCTCTGGAAGAAGGTGGTCAGGTAGATGGGAATGATAGAGGAGTCTTCAAGGCCCCCAGTTCTTACCATTTCTCTAGGTCAGGCCCTCCCGGAGCTGCTAGCTAAGTTCTCATCAAAGTGCCTGCCTTCAGTGCCCTCCTCCTTTCCATGAACCCTGTCCTGAGGGCTGGTAACTTCTATCATCACCTGAACTTTTTTTTTTTTTTGAGATGGAGTCTCTTTCTGTGTCCCATGCTGGAGTGCAGTGGCGCCATCTCAGCTCACTGCACCTCCGTCTCCTGGGTTAAAGTGATTCTTCTGCCTCAGCCTCCCGAGTAGCTGGGATTACAGACATGCACCACCACACCTGGCTAATTTTTGTATTTTTAGTAGAGACAGGGTTTCACCATATTGGCCAGACTGGTCTCGAACTCCTGACCTTGTGATCCACCAACCTTGACCTCCCAAAGTGCTGGGATTACAGGCCTGAGCCACTGATCCCAGGGTTGTCACCTGCACTTCTAAGAAGCAGTGCCCCTGTCTACAGAGAGCTAGACTTACCAAGAAGCTAAGCATGTTTCAGCTGTAGAGTCCAGCCCTCATTTGCCATGGGTCCTCCCAAGTTCACATACTTTTGTAAACTGTGTACCTTTTGGATCTTTCTTTCCTTCCTTCCTTCCTTCCTTCCTTCCTTCCTTCCTTCCTTCCTTTCTTTCTTTCTTTCTTTCTTTCTTTCTTTCTTTCTTTCTTTCCTTTCTTTCTTCTTTCCTTTCTTTCTTTCTTCTTTCCTTTCTTTCTTTCTCTCTTTCTTTCTTTTCTTCTTTCTTTCTTTCTTTTGTAGAGACAGGATTTCATCATGTTGGTCAGGCTGGTCTTGAACTCCTGACCTTGTGATCCAACCACCTCGGCCTCCCAAAGTGCTGGGATTACAGGTGTGAGCTACCGCTCCCAGCCGATTTTTCTAAGAGTGCTCCCTCAAATTGTTTGAGGAACCCATGCCACAATCTACCTCTGATCTCCAGTTAAATAACTACAATGGTGGGATTTCATACAAGCTAGAGGAAATGCTTCACTTGGGGGAGGGGAATCTTTTTGCTCTCTTCCTGCCCATAGGCCCAGCAGAGTCATGTTTGTCTTCTTCACTTTGTCACCAGTCCCTTACCCAGGGCCTGGCCCACAGCATGTGTTTTGAGAAATGGACGAATGAGTGAGTGGGTGAGTGAATGATGGGCCCCACCTCTGCCAGGTGTTAGGCAGCTCCTGAGGACTGATTCTCAGCGCCTGGCAGTGACACTCTGCCACTGCCAGCTCTCTTCTCAGCCCCACTCAAAGATGTGGCATTGACGGAAGCAGATACAGCCAGATGGTGCTGGTTCCTTCCTCTAGGCCCAGCTCAGCCGCCACTTCCTTTTGGCCCCAGTTAGAGGTGCAGGTGGCCCCTGGTCATGGGGTGAGGGTACAGGGCAGGAGGAAGGGTGGGGATTGGGTAGGGGCTGGTCCAGGGGCCCTTCTGTTTATCCCTCTAGATCTGGCCTGCAGGGAGGTGAGTTGGGTGGGTGGTGGTGGGATGTCCTCGAGTGAGGAATGTCTAACCTTCTTAGGGTCAGGGTGATGTGTGTGTAAGGGGTGGAGAGGGGTGGTGGAAGTTTCTAAAAGGAACAGAGGAGAGCAATGTTCACAGCCCGCATATCCTCACCCCTTGCCTCCCCTGCCCCACCCATTCAGGTGGTGCCCCCTTTTTTCCTTTCCTCTGTCAGTCATACCCTTTAAACCCTTCCTAACTAGCAAGGCTTTCCAGATTATCTCCAGTGGATCTGAACCACGCCTTAGTTCCCTGTCTCCTCGGAATGTGTGGAAGCGGTCTGCTCTGTGTTTATTCATCCGCCCTTATTGTTCTGTCTCCTCTCTGTTCTCTCCAAGGCCCTGTTGTTCCTGCTCCTGTCATTCCGCCTAATGCTGAGAGCTCCTCCTTGAGGGAGGAATGTATGTAAAGTTTAAGAATGGAGGGGCCGGTGGGGAGCATTGTGCTTAGACAGGGATCTGGGAGCGAGTAGAAGCTTGCAGGCTGTTATAAGTAGCCAGAGAAGGTGTCTGAAAGGCACATGGTTTACAAGTTTTCCTCTCCCACTCCTTTTTTTTTTTTTGTGGAGTCTCGCTCTGTTGCCCAGGCTTGAGTGCAGTGACACGATCTTGGGTCACTGCTACCTCTGCCTCCTGGGTTTAAGTGATTCTCCTGCCTCAGCCTCCTGAGTAACTGGGATTACAGGTGTGTGCCACCACACCCAGCTACTTTTTGTATTTTTAGTTGAGACTGGGTTTCACCATGTTGGTCAAGCTGATCTTGAACTTCTGACCTCGTGTTCCACCCACCTCGGCCTCCCAAAGTGCTGGGATTACAGGTGTGAGCCACCATGCCCTATTCTTTTTTCATTAAAAAAATTATTACTAAGTTACATTTTAACATGCCTCAAAATTCCAAAGGGATAAAAGGCTACAGTAAAATGTGCATCCTCCCAGCCTTGTTCTTTCATCACCCGGTGTAGCTGCCTCCCCTCAAGCCCTTTGACCAGGCCCCCTGCACAGAGGCTGGGGGGCGGGGTATGTGTTTATGGAGACTTAAGTTTTCTCTTTTATAAAAACAATGCTGTGCAACCACTGGGAAAACTGCTTGGCAGTATCTTTAAAGCTGACCACATGTATACCCTATGATCCAGCAATTCCTTTCCTAGGTTGCTTTCCAATTATTGGGGCTCAGAAAACAATAACCCAAAATGCAGGCCTCAGAAGGAGCCTCAGAAGCAAACCTTTTTCTCTGCTTGCCTGCTTCTCAGTCTCATTCTCCGCCCTCACTGTGCCCCCTGTCCCCAGGTTGGGTGTAGAAACTAGGATCCCTTTTCCCCAAGGTGAGTCATAAAAACTAGAACCCCTTTTCTTCAAAGCCAGCCATAAAACTGACAAGTATTACTCTCACTTTCCTTCCACCTTCCTGTGTAAAAACTTGTCATAAAGACATTATCTGACCTATCTTGTTTGACCATAGGTCATAAGACACCGTACCCATTCCAGAGAGAATCCTGCTCCATACCCAGAAGGAAGGAATGCGTGATCAGAGAGGTCAAGAAGAATCTAGACAGACAGGCCCTGCTGCGTTTCCCCATTCCTTCTGTGAGCATGAAAAATACCCTTATTGTCCAACCACATTTCCACACGGCTGTCCAGACTTTGTTGAAGCTAGGTATAAATATGAACGATGTCCCTTGTGTCTTTGGGTCTTCATTCTGAAGGCTCCTGTGTACACCTTAAATAATGCATATGTCTTTTCTCCAGTTCATCTGCCTTTTGTGAGTCCATTTCCAGCAAATATTCGGAGGGAGAAGGGGAGGTTTTCCCTGACTCTAACACAACAAAAATGTGCCTCTGCTCACCATGATATTGCTCAAAATGCTCCTAACAGTGCCCTCTGTAAGAGTTAAACATTGGAAACAGCCAAAATACACATCAATGGCAGAATGGAGAAATTGTGTATGGTGTACTCCTATAATGGGATGTTGTACAGCAGTGAAAAGGAGCTGTGACTGCTGCGCGACAGCCCGAATGTGTCTCAGACAGCTCGGGGAGTCCAGTTCTAAAAAGGACAATCATGTGGTTCCGTGTACATAACATTTAGACACAATAACAATGAATCAATAGTGTTAGGTGTCAGGATAGTGGTTACTTTGTGGAATGAGAGGGGGCGGTGCTGGGGGCAGCCAGAAGAGTGACCACTGTTGGTTCCTGCTTCACTGTTGGTGAAGCCCTGTTGGTTCCTGCTTGGGCTCAGGACCCTGGAGGCCCTGTGCCTGTCCAGGGCCTACGGAGTCCTAGAGTTGAGGACCCACAGGAAAATGGGGATGGGATGCCGCAGCAAGGCAGAGGGAAGGCATTGTGTCTGAGGGACGTGATGAGTCCCATGAGGCCTGCAGGAGCTGGACAGTCAGCCCCGCACTTGACCTGAGCAGCAGCTGACCAGTGGGGTGGTGAGTAAAGCACAGGGTAGATGGAATCAGTGTTTTTCTGTGGAGTCCAGCAGACACAACCTGTTCTGTGCCAGGCACAGATCTAAGTTCTTCAGGCATCTGAGATGAGTAAGACTTGGTTACCGCTCTACTGGAGCTTACAGTCTGGTGGGAGAAAGGCATAGCAGTGGCATATAGAGAAATCTATGACATGCAACATAATAAAGGCCACCCAGGAGGTGTGTGCCTGTGTCAGGGGAGCCCTGAGAAGGAAGCATTTGACATGAGCTAGGGGGATGACGCTTGAGAGCTGAATCCTGAAGGTCAACCAGGAGGTATGAGGTCAGCAAAAGTGCTCTAGGCACATGGGACAGCATGTTCAAAGGCTCAGGGGTAGGAATGGATGTGGTAGTTTGGGGAATTGCATTCTCTCTGGAGCATTAAGTTTGTGCAAGAAAGTGAATAAAAGCGAGGCAAGAGGCTTGAACAAGAGAGGGTCCTGAAAGCTGAACACCCACTGAGAAGTTTGGACCAGAGCTGATCTTTCTTTTCTCTCTCTCTCTCCCCCCTCATTTCTCTCTCCTTCCCTTTCTTCTCCCTCCCTCCCTTCCTTCTTCCCTTTCTTCCTTCCTTCCTGTTTCCTTTCCCATAAAAACAATGCATACTCACTGCAATCACTTTATTATTTATTTTGTTTATTTTTATTTTTGGAACAGGAGTCTCACTCTGTCACCCAGGCTGGAGTGCAGTGGCGCAATCTTGGCTTACTGCAACCTCCACCTCCTGGACTCAAACAATTCTCCTGCCTCAGCCTCCCAAGTAGCTGGGACTGCAGGTGCACACCACCACACTCAGCTAGTTCTTTTGCATTTTTAGTGGAGTTGGGGTTTCACCATGTTGGCCAGGCTGGTCTTGAACTCCTGACCTTGGGTGATCCACTTGCCTCGGCCTCCCAAAGTGCTGGGATTACAGACGTAAGCCACCACATCCAGCCCGCAATAACTTTAGAATATACACAAACCAAGAGTGTAAATTCTATGAAGAGGAGAACTTTGTTAAGTCTCCATCATTTTCCCAGGGCCAGTTGTGGTGCCTGACATTTAATAGATGCTTAAAAACTATTTGTTGGTGACATGGGCACTGTGCTGCACCCTGTGGGTGTAATGTGGGCAATACAGATGGGGGAGTCTCCCTCTTGGACTCCCTATAATTAACTGGTAACAGTAACCAGTAGAGAAATGCCATGGTAGAGAATTAGGGCAGACATCTAACCTTGGAGTTGGGGTGGGGAACCAGGGAAGGCTTCTCGAGTGGGCAGTGCAGATGCTGAAACCTGAAAGTCCAGCAGGGATTAGTTGGGGCAAGAATGTTGAGGCAGAGGGAAGAGTACTCAGGCAGGAGAGTCTGTGTATGTGTGAGAATATGGGGCTTTGTCTCAAGGACAATAGGGTTTAGAAAAGATAGTGCTGTGATACATTTTTTTTTTAATTTATAAAAAGTTTTTCCCTGGCAACTTTCATTTAAACTGTGACACAGTTTGAAGCAAAGAGAATGAATCAGAGAGGGCAGGGAGACGGGAGGCAGGCAGGCGAGAGAACATTAGCACCAAAAGACAGACAGGGATCATGGTCCATCCAGGCTAAGACAGAGGCCGTGGGGACAGGTAAAGAACCATACATATTGCTGGAGTCTTCTGTTCTTGGAGACTGATGGGCTGAGGGGAGAAGGAAATAGAAGAGTTTAGCAGGATCTAGCAGTTCCCCAGATCCTAGGCTTTGGGGAAGGGACGACTGGAATCATGATGTAAAGAACTATATGAATGTTACCCTCCCCCCTTTTTTTTTTTTTTGAGACAGAGTCTTGCTCTGTCACCCAGGCTGGAGTGCAGTGTTGTGACTTTGGCTCACTGTAGCCTCTGTCTCTGGATTCAAGCGATTCTCATGCTTCAGCTTCTCAAGTAGCTGGGATTACAGGCTGTGCCGTCAATCCTGGCTAATTTTTTTTTTTTTTTTTTGTATTTTTAGTAGAGATGGGGTTTCGCCATGTTGGTTAGGCTGGTCTCTGATTCCTGGCCTAAAGTGATCCGCCTGCCTCAGCCTCCCAAAGTGCTGAGTTTACAAGCATGAGCCGCCATGCTTGGCCAGCTACTTCTTATTCAAATGTACAATTTGCATGTGGCTCACAGCCAGTGGTGACCCATCAACCAGTGAAAAGGGGTGGGCCTGTGCTGGTGCCCAGCAGGCTCTCATGCCCCTGCCCTCCCCCTGCCAGTCTACTCCTCCCAGTCTGAACCCCACCCGCCCCCAGCCCTGGTTCTTGATCTTGGGGCTTTTGTCATGGTCTCCTCCCTTCACTCCCTGGTTCTCAGGGAAGCAGAAAGTTTTCCTTGCTGGCCAGAGCCCGGCCGCCCAGCCCAGGATTGCATGAGCCCTCTTCACTCCTTCTGGCTTCTTACTCATTTGTGCATGGAAATGCCCTGCCAGACTCAGCTTGGCCACACTGACCCACTTTCCCATTTTCAAGCCTTCCTCTTTGTTCGCTCATCTTTCTTCTGAAGCTGCAACTTCTTTGCAAAGCTCCCCAATCCTTCCAGAGCTGGGCACGGTGGCAGTTGCCTGTAATCCCGGCCTCACCATGCACCCACAGCAGGACACAGAGCCAAAGGTCTGGCCGACATGGCCCATCACACCCTCACTCTGACACACAGACACCAAGGCACATTCACTAGTAAGCACAGGGAGATGTGTAGACAGGAAGCTCCAGAGCACAGAGCCTGGATCTGATTCTTTTGGTATTATGTCCCCAAAGCCTGGCACTCAGGAGGTGCTCTGTAAGTATTTGTTGAATGAAAGGATGGGGTAGATGCAGGGATACGCCACGCAAACCTCCCTGCAAGAAAGGATGATGGCCTGGTGGTGAGGTGTGGTATGCTGACAGTTCCAACTGTTGGTCCCTCCAGGGACCACAGGGCTGGGACTCAGGTGAGAAGACTAGCACCTAGAGCACAGAATCTAGGGATGTGGGGGGACACTGTGGCTTACACCTGTTATCCCGGCACTTTGGGAGGCTGGGGTAAGTGGATCACTTGAGATAAGAAGATCGAGATCAGACTGGCCAAGATGGTTGAAACCCCATCTCTACTAAACATACAAAAAATTTGCTGGGCATGTTGGCAGGCACCTGTAATCCCAGCTACTTGGGAGGCCAAGGCAGGAGAATGGCTTGAACCAAGGAGGTGGAGGTTGCAGTGAGCTGAGATAGTGCCACTGTATTTCAGCCTGGGAGACAAGAGTGAAACTCCATCTCAAAAGAAAAAAAAAAAAAATCTAAGGATGTGCTCACCTGCAGGAGTGTTCAGGTGCCTCCTTACATGCTACGCCCTGGCTGCCTCACTGGCCTTGACTCAGGTGGCTGAGCACAGCAGTGGCTCTCGCGCCTGGCCATTGCCAACTCAGGGTTCCTCTAATGGGCAGTCTTTGCTCAGGAGTTCCCCATTGGGCTGGCAGAGAGGGGTCAGATCTGCTTCAGTCTCATGGTCCCTGCCCAGTCCTGCTCTCACCTGCTTCCTTTCCCGGGCCTCACTCCCCAGCAAACCTTTCCTCATCTCTGTAGGTGCTTCCCAGAGAACCTGACCTGTGACATTTCATAAACAGGTACTTCCAGATTACAAAGAACCACACACACATACTGACACACACACACCCCTGTGAGTGCCTGAGGGTAGGAGCTGGGCCTTACCTTTATGTAAAGCTCAGTTCTGAACATATATCAGATGCTCAAGAACTCCCCAATGAGTGACTGAATGGGATGGAGATACCCAAGGTGACTGAACACCTGGTGGGAGGCCAGTGCCTGGATATGCTGACCTTGCTAGATGTTCCCAAATTGGGGTCCCCAGGGCATCCTTGAAGGCAGTGACAGAGGTGATAGAGTTGTTTCCAAGATTTAGTCTCATGGAATGTGTGCTATTTGCTGAAATAGGCCACTCAGGTGAACTAAGAGGTGAGATCTTATGCTTTTTGTGGGAATTATGTGAAGACAGTGCACTCCCATGGAGCTATCCTGGGATGAGGAAAAGTTCCATCCGGCACTGACATATTAAAATGATTTTCACTGGGTATCATGGAGGCAGTGGAGAGGAGTGGGAAGGTCAACGATTTTTGACTCTGCTGCCAGGTGTCATTAGGCAAATCAGCCTACATCTCTGAGTCTCAGTTTCCCCATCTGTAACGTGGGATCTAGGAGTGTCCTCTGCTGGAGCTGTAAAGGCAATAATATAAAGAACCTAGTATAGTGCCTAGCCCTGAGTGATTGGCAGCCATTATTATGATCAGTTCACATTTTTAGTTTGCACAATAAAACATTTAGACCCATGGAGTGTAAGTGCCTTCAGCCCAGCTTGGTAGGGATTGGCTGAACTGCCCCAAACAGTCAGACACTGTTAATTATGAGAATAAGAGAGGGTTTCAGCTCTGAGGCCACAGCAAATGGGCATGAAGCTGACCAAATTCCTCTAGATTGAGGCACAGGGTGGAAGAGTAGGATGTGCAGAGAATCCTCAAGCTCCCAGCTTGGTGGGTGGTGGCAGGGAAGTGGAAGGACTATTTGCACTTGTGGAATTAGGGTTTGGTCCATGTTCCAGGGATGTTCATGTATATCAGCCGGAAGGATGCAAGTGATCTGATACCAGGATCCACCAGGGAGATGCACGGACTGGCCTTTCTGTAGGTGCCCAAAGGCATTTAAGAAAGAAGACTGGTGGGTTATGTCTGCAATCATAGCACTTTGGTAGGCTGAAGCAAGCAGGTCACCTGAGGTCAGGAGTTCAACCAACATGATGAAACCCCGTCTACTAAAAATACAAAATTAGCAGGACATGGTGGCACACACCTGTAATCCCAGCTACTTGGGAGGCTGAGGCAGGAGAACTGCTTGAACCTGGGAGGCGGAGGTTGCAGTGAGCTGAGATCATGCCATTTCACTCCAGCCTGGGCTACGAGATGAAACCCCATCTGAAAAAAACGACTATCCCCTACACTCCTGTGAGTCAGGGAGCTGCATATGAAGCCTTTACACAGGCCATCTGGTCTCTTGGGAAATACACAGGTATGTCTCAGGTATGAAGACTGGGAGAAAGCATGCCAAAGTGCTCACCAATAACTTATTTACTGAGGGAGTGGAATAATAAGCATTTCAAATCTTCTGCTTTACATTTTTGTTTGTTTTCTGCAAATTTGTTTCCATGGCTTGATCTTATAGGTGAAGAGAGGGTGAAGTGGGCCAAGTCAACAAAAATGAAGACAGATAATGAAAAAAAAAAGACTGTGTTATTCTCTGAGCCCAGTTAACTTGGAGATGAGGTTCTAGACTCTGCACTATGGTGTAATGAACAATTACTGCCAGCTTATGTTTTCTAGTAAATAAGAAAGAGTCGCTGCAAAGCTTCTCTCCAGATGAGCAGGGGGATGGTCCAGGAAACCTGAATGAGTATCTCCTGCTCTTATTTATTTTCCTCTTCCCTTCTGCACAAGGAAGGAAAAATGGAGGTGGGACTCCCATTTCCTGATGGGGCAGCTCTCAGCAGAGTTGGAGGCTGAGAGAGAGTCCACGGGATAGGTCTCTCCTGTCTTACCCCAGGCCCAGTTCCTCACTGTGGGGAGAAAGGGTCTGGACACGGCCTTCAGATGATATGGTAAATTTCGCATTTGGCATTTTCATCTCTCTTTTCTGAGCTCTCTTCCTACTTTCATGCAAACCTCCTTGTTCCCCATTTAATTTAATGTTAAATGGGGGAGAAACCTGTCCCCCAGGAAGTTTAATGTTCCTCCTGGCCCCAAGCCTTACATATTCCCAGCTTGTCTCTTTCTCATCTCCAACCTCCCTTCCCACTTTTACATTTCCCTCACTACCCTGTTCTTTACTGTCTCGTTGTCAAGCATGCTGGCCAGTAATTCACACTACAGTGTAAAGGGCCACCACTCTATAGTAACATTCATAAACAAGGTACTTAGACAAGTAGTTTTGGCAGTGGAAGTCAGTGAGAGGTGCCATGATATGGTTTGGCTCTGTGTCCCCACCCAAATCTCATCTGGATTTGTAATCCCCATAATTCCCATGTGTCAAGAGTGAGACATGGTGGGAGGTGATTGGGTCATTGGGGCAGTGTCCCTCATGCTGTTCTTGTGATAGTGGGTGAGTTCTCACAAGATATGATAGTTTTTTGTGTTTGACAGTTCTTCCTACTCGCTCCCTCCCTCTCTGTCTCTCTCACACCTGCCACCATGTAAGATCGTGCCTGCTTCCCTTACTGCCATGATTGTAAGTTTCCTGAGACCTCTCAGCCATGTGGAACTGTGAGTCAATTAAACCTCTTTTCTCTATGAATTACCCAGTCTCAGGCAGTTCTTTATAGCAGTGTGAAAATGGACTAATACAATCTAGAACCCAGTGCTGGAATCAGAAGGTTTGTCTTGAGTCTTATGTTTGCCTCTAAATCATTGGCTGACCCTCATATCACCTTTCTGGGATTCAATTTCCTCATGAGTGGCAGTATGGAAGTTATCTTTTTAAATTTTTTAAACCAGGTCACAAGATTCTGTCCCCACGATGTCATCTGATTCTCACACGAATACTGTGGTTACATGGGCAGGAAGCCCTATTATTCTATTTGTCTTTCAAAGCTGGGCTCAAATAAGCCTCTCCCCTGTAAACCATTTCTTGACTCTCCCCACAAGTTAATCATTCTATCCTGGGGTTGGCCACTGAAGCTGGCAATAGCTCTTGTGGTTCTGCTCAACCCTGCAATTTGGATCCAGGGCTGTGACCTTTGGGTGCCCAGGGCCTGGCACAAATAGGGCCTCAATGGCTGTTATAGGAGATGTTGAAGGACAGCAACTAGTATTTACAGGGCTGACTGCCATCCAGAGTCTGTCTTCTTCTGTGTTAGCCTGTCTTCCACCGTGTTAACTAGCCCACCCTGCTGGCCTTGAAACTCAGTAGGTAGGTGCGTCTTGATCACCTTTAACAATAGTACTGAGAAGGAAAAATCAAAGGGTGGAGCCCTGGGCACCCTCAGTAGAGGCTGTCACCCTCAGGACATCTGCCCTAACACATAGATGGTTCAAACTCAGAACTTTCAAATTACCTGCTCTGCCTGGGGCTGAATGTCATCATCTTAAGTGCCTGTCCCAGGGCTGACACCCAGTGGGTGCTCCTCTGATGCCAAATGCTAGTTTTTACCTGTTCTCTTTTCCTACCAGGTGAACCAGGCAAAGGGGAGAGCCTAAGCGGGTTTTATCTTTTTTTGACAGACTCTCACTCTGTTGCCCAGGCTGGAATGCAGTGGTATGATCTCGGCTCACTGCAACCTCCACCTTCTGATCACTGCAACCTCCACCTTCTGAGTTCAAATGATTCTCCTGCCTCAGTCTCCTGAGTAGCTGGGACTATAGGCACATGCCACCACTATTTTTGTATTTTTAGTGGAGATGGGATTTCACCATGTTGGCCAGGCTGGTCTCAAACTCCTGACCTCAAGTGATCCAACTGCCTCGGCCTCCCAAAGTGCTCCGATTACAGGTGTGAGCCACTGCACCAGCCTAAGTGGGTTTCTAATATGCACTCTCTCTGTGGCTAAGCAGAGGGTCCCAACACCACCCATTTCCCCAGCACCTGTAGCATTTTGTAACTTATCCAGAGGGCTTGTTTCTTGTGTCCAGAGTTCAGGTGGCCTTCTCCTTAGGAGCACTTGAGAGGGTGGAGGGTGTGGCAGCAGCTGGGTTACTGGCAGTGAGTGTGGTGAGGGAGAACAAGGGTCTGGAGCTGGGCAGTTCTGACTCCACCACATGCTGGCTGTGCCAGCTGGGCACATCTCTGCCCCTCTCAGGGTTCCAGTGCCTTCCTCCTGAAAGATGGGGATAATAACAGTATCTACCTCATTGGGTTCATAAGAGGACTAGGTGATAAAATATTTGTAAAGTGCCAGGTAGAGTAACCTAGAAGCATAGTTTTGATGATTACCTTGAAACACCGTTGCCATCAGCAGTAGGAAACACTGTTCCATTGGCAGTAGGAAACACTTCCATTGGCAGTAGGAAACACTGCTGCCATCCACTGTAGCAGACACTGTTGCCATCCATAGTAGGAGACATTCTTCCATCAGCAGTAGGAGACGCTGCTGCCACCCACTGTAGGAAACACTGCTCCACTGGCTGTAGGAGACACTGTTGCCTTGGCAGTAGGAAACACTGTTGCCATCCACAGTAGGACCCCTCCTGAGCAGTCCATGCCAGGACTACCGGCTACAGTGACCCCAGGAGTTGCCTTGGCAGGAGAAGGGTACCCAGGCAGCCCTGCCCTAGCCACTGGCTGGGGCTGGAATGTTCCAAGTGCTTGCATAATAACCAGGATGGGGATCCAGGTAGTTCAGTGTTTGCAAAGCACAGCTTTCCCTGGGCCACAGAAGCTATCAGCCCTCGTGGTGATGAAATGTGCCCACCCTCCTCGTGGTGATGAAATGTGCCCACCCTGGGTGGAGCAGGTCAGCCATTGCCATGGCTGCCCCACTGGAGTAGCACAGAACAGTATGTCTTGCTCTGGGTTTCAGTCTGGCCCAGAGCCCAGGGTCTAGGTACAAGGGTGGAGGGTCAGGCAGAGGAAGTGAGGCAGCGGACCCTGGCACGAGCATTGGCTCTGCTGCTGGCAAGCAGGGTGGCCTTGGCAGACCCTTCCCCTCAGAAGAGTTTGTTTTCAAGTGATTTCTAAGCCCCCTTTAGCTTAGCTCTCACACTCCTAGGGGAAGGCAGCCAGGTGGATGTCTCACAGCATTTCCTGGCCCCCATCTCTGGCTCTGGCAAGAAAACTGAAAGTTTAGGTTCTGGCTTCACTTCTTTCTATCTTCATTCAGGTTTCCCAAAGGGCTGGGCACATTCTGTTGCAGGCAGCACCTGTTCTTGAGGCTTTGGGGTCCAGGTGAGAAGAAAACACAAAAGCCCCCACAGACCCCAAGTCAGTCAGGTGACAGCAAGTACCCAGAAGAGCTGAGACAGAGGGTGTGAGGACAGCTCTGAGGAGGACAGCAGGGGCTGTCAGAGAGCAGGATGCGGCACACAGGAGGGAAGGGAGGGTGTTCCAGGTGGGAGCCTGCGAGAGCCCAAACTGGATGTGGTTGAGTCAGGAATGGCAGGAGTCAGGGGCCTGGACAGCAAATCGCTGGCCCTGAGATCACGCCAGGCTTTCACTGCTGTGCACTGGCTTCTGACTGGATCTAGGGCCAGCCCTGCTGTAGGGGCTCCCCGGGGACTGGGTGTCCCCTGGACCGGACCCACCCCATTCCTCTGTCAGTGGAGGAGCTGCCTGTGACTGGCCAAGAGAGGCAATCTCTGGGGACAAGGCTGTGTGACTGCCAAGGCTGTGGCAGTAGCTGTCTCTCACTCATCACTCTCCCTTTCGGTTTCATTCCAGGTTCACTTCAGGAGCTGTGATTTTCCTACGGCTGAGTCACCCAGGGAAGGGCAATAAATAAGGGTGATTAACAGTGTTTCAGTTCCTGGGATTTCCCATATCAGTTCATATGAATTCAGAGCAAAGCCATAGAAGTACAGGTGGTGAGGGAGGAAAAAGACTTTGTAGGGACCTAAGGAGACCACTCCCCTCAGACTGGGGCTCCCTGAGGACAGGGCTGTGTCTCCCTCAGACTGGGGCTCCCTGAGGACAGCGGTGCGTCTTCCTTCTATCCCTTCTATTGGGGCTTCCTGAAGAGTGTGTACAGCTCTCTTTCTTGTGTACCAGGTCTACTGCAGCCACGGGCCACTGGGTGCCTCTGCAGAAGTCCCATTGGGTGCACCAATTAGAGCAGAGCAGACCTCCTGGGTCCCCCTGCTGGGGTTTCTCCTCACATGGGAAAGATGATAACACAGAAAGTCCTTCATTTCTCCCCGTGCTTGCTCTTCGTTCTTTCTCCTTCTCTCCAGCAGACCACACAGGGCTGCAGTCCTTTCCTGCATCGCTCCCTGCTCCTCCCACTGCACGTCCACCCACAGAGCCCTTTGGTCAGTGTTCTCACCCAGAGCCACCCTAGTACTCATCAACCAGGGATCAAAGGTGACAGAACTGGGCACTGCCAGCAAAACCAGAGCCCAAGTCAACTGTGGAAGGAGGGGCTTCTGTCCCGTCTTCTCTCCACTGCTGGTTGACTAAAGTCCAGCTGGACTCACCTTGGCTGCATCCTGGGTGGGAGTTGCCGGCCAGAGAGAACTGACTTGCGCTGCCACGGTGGGATAGGTGACGGGATCGACCTGCTGGGAGCTGAGGCCAGCTCCCGGAGAGGTCATACCTTCTACCAGTGAGAGACACTACCAACACTTCCACCACCTCTCAGTGCTGTGGGTGACTGGGAGCTGCTCGTCGAGGTGACACCTGTGTGGACTGGGGGCCTCTTCTACAGCCTGCTGTTCCCAGCAGCAGCCACCGTAGCAGCAGGTCCTGCTGCGGAGCAATTCTTGGGACTGCAGGCGTTAATGAAGCCTGTGATCTTCCTCAAACTTTTCCACCAGAGAGACACCCGAAGGAGCTGGACCACATTCCCCTGAGGGCTTGTGTTAGGGGGTGGGCTTCGCTCAAAACAGCCAACTCAGAGCTCCAGTGGGATTGCAAGTCTTCTGTTTATTGAAAATTCACACATGCATCTTACATTCTATTTCATCATACTGTTGAATGTGAAAATAATCTTCTTCTCATATTCTTTGAGCCAAATTGCTGCTCTAGGAAGGTGGGGCCCGTTCATCCTGTGGCGTTGCTGCCCTGGGCACAATGGTGCTGGTGGTGGGTGCCCAGAGCAGGTGGCACGGGTGCCCAGAACAGGTGGCACAGGGGCCCAGGTAGCCTCAGATTGGGTCCCAGCGCAGACGCATCTCCCCACTCAGTTGTGTAAGAAGCCTCCCTATCCTTCCTAGCCTCACTTTTCCTGGTGATTCCTGTGGAAGGCAGAGTGGGTCACCTGTTCACACAGGATGTGCTCTCCTGGCTGCTGGATGCCCTGAGGCCCCTCCTCCCCACAGCCAGCCCAAGCCTGCTGGGCCTCTACTCCTAAATCATTGGCTGAGAAGCCCGTTTGTCAGAGGCTACTGAGCTCTGCTCCCAGGGAGAGAACAGACAGGAATCCTGTTCACGGATGAAGACCCTAGTGAAACCGTGGACAGTTGTGGGTGCATGTCTCATCCCATCCCAGGAGGTCTTGTCCTGCCATGGCCCACCTTTGCAGGCATGTGGTGGGGTGCGATGGCTCCTGACAGTGGCTGTGGCTGCCTGGTCAGAATCTGGGTAAACCCTGAGAAGGAGGTGCTATGAGCCCCTGAGGGCAGCTTCCCTTTCCCTCCCCAATACCCAATATGTCAACAAGACCCAATATCTCTGCTTCTCAAATGCTTCTCAAATCCATTTCACTTTATTCAAAGTAGGCTTTATACAAATCTTATTTTCTTGTACAAATCTTATTTTCTTGCTTAAAACCCTTTGTTCCAAGACTTCTCACTAGACTTCTTAAATAAGTTTCAACTGGTTTGCCAATCTTGCCCTCCTCGGCTCTCAGCTCTGTCTCAACGCTGACTTCTTTTCTTCCTCTAGCAACTTTGCACATGCTGTTCCCTCCCTGCATGGAGCACTTAGCATCCACCCTGACGTTCCACTCTCCCTCACTGCCCTACCTGTCTCTTCCACATCCAACCGATTTCTCCTTCCTCCTCCCTTCCCAGCTTCCCAATTCCTCAGGCCAGCATGGCTCTCAGAGCACTTTTTCACCTGGCTGGTGATACTTGTTAGATGTTAACTGAGGTCCTTATTTCCTCAGGAGGACCATGACAAAGCAGAAAGCAGAAAAGTCACTGGCCACTGTGTCCAGAATCCTAAGCCCTTAGCAGAAATGAAAGGTTTAAGTCATTTAAAAAAAAAAAAAGTAAAGTGGACCATTCCCCACTCCTGTGGTAGCTTGTATTTTCCAAAAATGATCATGGCTACAGTTTCTCTTCCACATGCTCTTCCAGAACCTTTCCAATCAAGAGTTGGATATTTCCTCATTCCATTGAAACTGGGTGGGATTTTGAGACTGCTAGGTGGACAGAATGTGGTGCAAGCCTAGTCTTCCCAGGGTAGGTCATTGCAGCAGTTCAGCTTCTCTCTCTTTTTCTCTCCATACTCATCCTTGAAAACCAGTTGCCATGTTGTCAGGAAGCCAAGGCTGCATGGGGAGGCCACATGTACATGTGCTAAGTTTTCAGCCAACAGCCAGGTATGTGAGAGAATGAATCTTCAGATAGTCTTGCTCCAGCCTTCCAGCTTCCCCGGCTGATGCCCAGCAGAGCAGAAGCATCCTCACTGAGCCCTGCCTGAATTGTGAATTTTTTTGTTACATATCCACAGTAATTGCTCCCCATCCCTTCCTTGACTTGATATGTACTTTTCCCGGGCTAGAAGAAAGAACAGGCAGAAAAAAGATGATGGAAGAAAAGGAGTAGGCACCTTTGACAACAGATATATTCTCCTTCTATCTCATCTGAGGCAGCATTTGAAATAATGATGGCATTATTTGGAAATACAAAACATTTTATTATGGCCAGGTGCAGTGGCTCATGCCTGTAATCCCAGCATTTTGGGAGGTCGAGGTGGGCAGATCACCTGAGGTCGGGAGTTCAAGACCAGCCTGGCCAGCATGAATGACAAAACCCTGTCTCTACTAAAAATATAAAAATTAGCCAGGCATGGTGGTGGGTGCCTGTAATCCCAGCTACTCGGGAGGCTAAGGCGGGAGAATTGCTCGACCTGTCTCAAAAAAAAAAAAGAATGTGCTAATGCCTTTTTCAGCCTTAGCCCAGCTGCACCCAGGTGAAAAACAAAAATAAAAAAGAACATTATATTTTCTTATATTTTCCTTTCACACACAGAACTAGGATTGCCTGTTGATGTGTTTGTGTCCTTAACTCCATATCTGTATCTTCAATAGGCCCTGCCTGTCATTGTCTTGGTCCCCATGACTCTGCAGCCTAGAATACAGCCTATCACAGAGAAGATGTTCAATAAATACATGGTGATTAATGATTAATGAATGAATCAATGATCAATAATCAATGATTGAAGGGTGAATGAGTGAAACCTGAAGCCCTGTCATCATGAACTTTTCATAAAGATCTTGGTCATTGACTCAAAGAATGCTCATCCTAAGTCAGACTGAGAGAGTCTTTTTATAAATAAGGACACTGAAGTCCAGTGAGGGCAAGGACTGGCCCAAGGCCTCACATGCAGCCGGTGGCAGAGCTGATCTAGAACTTGTATAAGTACCCAGCTCATGCCCTACCCATCCACTCCTCACTGGTCCTGACTGTCAG